CAGGAGCAGAAGCTCAAAGGAGACAAGGAGCTTCCTTCAGAGCCAGCGAAGAGGAGAGTCTTCCCTAGAGCTGGCACCCTGACTTTAGACTTCTAGCCTCTTGAACTGTGAGGAAATAAATTTGTTTGTTAGGGCACCCACTTGTGGTATTTCTCTTACAGCAGCACTAGAAAACGAAGACAACCACCTAATGCGGTAGTGCCTAAAACACTGATCTCATGCACCTCCTTAGAGTCCTGTCTCTCCAGCTTGTACGCTAATCATTTTTGATCATGGGAGTATCTGCCTGAACCCAGCAGCTCTGAGGTGAAGCCTGCCTTACTCTCAGGGTTCTTTGGTGTTTTAAAACTGCTGTGGACTTTGTAAGATCTGAGAAACAACTTTAGTTCCCGAAGATGACCCAAGGAGAAGAGATTCCCAGGAAGTGGTTGGTGAAAAGTGCCAACAAAGAGGAATGTGGTGGAGAGTCCAGGTCGCACCCAGGGAGCCAGGGCAAGCTGGCCCAGCAGTTGTGCATCTGTAATTCAGCCTGCATTATTCATAATGTAACTGAAGCTGGGGTAAGGGTGGGAGGTTACAGAAAAAACCGGGCTTCGTGTTACAGCATGGCAGGTGCAGGGGATGGAAAATGGCCCAATCTTTGAACCGCCCCCCCTCCCAGCTATCCCATACTGCTCGTTTTGTACATTTGCAGAAGAAAACCAGTGTCATGTGGAAAGTTAGACAGCATCAAATCTGTCTTCCCAGGCGTGATAAACAGACTTTCCCAAACACACCAAAGCTTCGTTCCTGGAGAAGGGGGGTGTGCCAGTCACGTCTGGTGTGCAGGAATTCTGGGCCTGCCAGGTGTGTTTGGTCTCTTGGCTCCTGTGAAAAGGAAATGGCTCTGCTTTGTACGGTGGCAGTTGGCAGGGGACTTTGACCTCTTTATGTTCCAAGTTGGACGGGAAAATGCGGTCTCGGCATGCAGGTCCCTGGGCCTAACCAGCAATTGGTGGGAAAATCAGTTGACGTTGAGCCTGAGAACACGCAATTGTGCTAAAAGCTTGACATTTTATGCAAAGTGACTACAGCTTGTTGCCACCAAGTAGTGCAGTAAAGTTCAAAAGTTAGTCTATTAATAGAACTGTCAGTCACTAGAGATGAATATTTTTACACTCAGTCTTCTGAGAACAGGCCTGCTGAATCTTGGCTAGCTATTAATAGGATGACTTAGGAGTCCCCACCGATAGAGGTCTGTGGACCTTAGGGAAGAATACCCCAGCAAGGTGGTAACATCTGGTGATTGTTTTATCATTATTCTTTACTTCCTCAAAAGCATTCCTGGTCATTCCTACTTCATAGCATTCGAGCCAGAGCCAGTATTTAATACTCTAAACATCCGAGTGTGCTTTCTTACACTTCTGCAGTAAAATTCAAAACGTGGAGCGACAGTTCTCCTCCAAGCTGTTATTGGGGGGGGGTTGCTCGAGATCTGTAAGATGGAGCCATTCTTTCTGTTAGGGAATGAGGCTTTTGTTCAAAATTTGCTGTACAAGTTTATAAAGCTCTTTGTAATTTTAACTGGCTAAGTAAAAAAGTAATTTCTGTCTGCGAATGGGCATGAGGGAACTTTTTGGGGTGATGGAAATGTGCGACCCTGGGATTGTGGCAGTGCTTCCACAATGGGATTCATTTGTCTAAAGTCTTTGAATTGCACATCTGAAACTGATGAAGTCATGTTGTCTGTTGTTATACCTTAGTAAAGCCCATTCTTAAAAAGATAATGGGGAGCAGAGCAGCAGGGCAATAACAGCCGACTCAGAAGCAGGAAAGGAAGTCTACTGATTGATTCTTGAATTTTAGGGAGCTACTGAGGGAAATACCCATAGACCCTGCTAGTTCCAAAGACTGCTGTATTTTCAGAGTATTGGATTTTTACCGAAATGGAATGTGATGAAAGATAAACCCCTGTCGGCTTTCCACTTGGCTTGTCTTTGTCTTGCTGTTGCAGGTCAAAGGCAGAAATGAGGCATACCTGCCGTGGTACCATCAACCTCGCCACAGCCAACATCACAGTTGAGGACTCCTGCAACTTCATCATTTCCAATGGGGGTGCTCAGACCTACCATCTGAAGGCTAGCTCAGAAGTGGAACGGCAGCGCTGGGTGACAGCCCTGGAACTGGCCAAGGCCAAAGCTGTGAAGATGCTGGCAGAATCGGGTAGGAAGCAAAGAACAGCAGGCTGAGACAACTTTCTGGGGGCCCTTCCTATGGTCAGCTCTTCTTTTGGTCCTTGTGTCTGACTGTCACCTGTCTCTTGCACATCACAGGCTTTTTACTCATAATGCAGTCTTTCTCCTACAGTGGTGGTTTTCACCTGCGGGGTGGTTTTACCTCAGGGGACATTGGACAATATCTGGGAGCCATTTCTGGTTGTCACAGCTATATGTAAGGGCAGGGAGTGTTTGCATTACTGGCATCCAGTGAGTAGAGGCCAAGGATTCTGCCAAACCTCCTGCAAAGCATAGGCCATTCCCCACAAGCAGGAATTCTCTGGCCCCAGATGTCTGTAGTGCCAGCATTGAGAAACTCTTGTCCTAGAGGCCTGATAGGTGTGCTTTTGTTTTTAGTGCCAGTTGACCAGTTTACAGTTGAAAAATAACTTTTTATTAATTAGGTCAGTCTTGGGATTATTCCAATCCACCATTTAGATCTGTTCATAGTTGTTTCTTTTCTCTTAACATCTCTCTTAACTATTTGTTAGTTAAGTTGAAACAAACAGTCTTGGTGGTGGTGGTGGTGTATGTTGTCAGGTGGATTCCAACTCATTACGACCCTGTAAGATGGAGTAACACTGCCCCATTGAGTTTCCCAGGTCTTTTCTCTCATGGAGTTGCTGGTGGGGTTGAACTGCCAATCTTTGGTTAGCAGACAAACAGTTAACCACTTGCCACCAGGGCTCCTTAACAAGCTTGGTAGCCTGCCAGAGCCATTGTACATGATACTGCCTGTTTTGCTACCTTACCTTCTTCAAGGAATATGGTAGGGTCACCCCCTGGCGTGTTAATAGTTTAGCCATACTGAGCTTCACTTGCAGCTCACCAAGATGGTAGCCTGTTGTGTTTTGTTCTGCTGTTGTTTTTATCATCCTTGTCATTTCTCATATTTTATTTAATATCTGTTCAGCAGTGCAAGGAAAATTCACTGCTTTGTAAATTATTTTGTAACAGGTGGTATTTTGACCTTGATCCCACACCCTGTCTAGCAAACAGGACAAGTCTTTGGTTAATTCTTTTATTTTGATTTTAGTGCTGATGTTAGCGCTTCCAGAGGAGGTAGCACTGCTAGAAAAGCACTTTGCAGTTACAAAGTGTTACGTACAAAACTGACAGTGAGAGGTACAACGTAGCTGCTCTGCTGCTTATTGGAGCGTTATGAATATAAGACCTTGTATGGCTTTCATGGTATGGTGGTGTCAGATGAGTTCATCCTGGAGTTCCTGAGCTCACCTTTATAAAAGATAAAGGAGGCTTTTCATGATCCAGCCCTTGTCAACCAAGAGCAAGACTACAGTTTTCAATTCATTTTATATAGGCCCCATCAACCGCTATACATTTGCATTAGCCATTGTCTTGGCTGGATTAGGCCAGCTCGAGGTAAAAGGTTCAGTAACTGATTCCCAGGGGTCTCTCAGGCTCTCCATCCAGTTGGCTAGGTCAGTGGTTCTCGAGCTTTGGTGTGCACCCGGTGACCTGGGTGGCTTGATAGAGATGTGGATTCCTGGGCCTTGCCTCACAGCTGCTCAATCAGCCCAGCCACTGCCCTTTAAGAAACCCCATAGGAATTTCTGGTGTTCCACGGTCCACGCTGTAGGGAAGCCTCCTGGTACTGGCGAGCCTTCTCACTCAGAACGCACAGCGTGAGGAGTGTCTGGTTTGGCCGTGGGCGGAGTTGGTAGGCTTCCGATGCTCAGTCCTGCTCCTTCGCCTTTTCACCCTTTGCAGATGAGTCGGGAGATGAAGAGTCTGTCTCACAAACCGACAAAACCGAGCTGCAGAATACCCTCCGGACCCTCTCCAGCAAAGTGGAGGACCTGAGCACGTGTAATGACTTGATAGCCAAGCATGGCACGGCTCTGCAGCGCTCCCTCAGCGAGCTGGAGTCCCTGAAACTGCCTGCTGAGAGCAATGAGAAGATTAAACAGGTCAACGAACGGGCCACACTCTTCAGGATCACGTCCAATGCCATGATTAATGTAGGTACAAACCAGGCTGTGTTGTTTTGGTTCTTTTCCTCTTTGAAATGTAACTTTCCCGAAATGCACAAAAATTGTAATCAGGTGAAACACAGAACATTAGGCCCTGCTTCACTGCTCAAGGGCCTTAAGTGACATTGCCTGTTGCATGAACAAGGACACACTGCACAGGTGAAATGACTTTCATGCTCTGCTCCGGTGGCCAGGGGGCCGCTGTGTGGTCAGGGCTCTGTTGCTCCAGCCTGGGAGTTGGTTAGGAGTCCGGAGTTCCAGCCCTGCTTCTGCCACCAGCAGGACATGTGATGGCGATGCTCACTAATTCTTTAACGCGTCTGGGTAGGGTTTGGTTGGTTTTGTTTGTTTTTGTTTTTAAGCTGACTTTATCTGTTAGGTCTCTAAGGGTCCTTTGAACGCCCATGTTCTTTGAGCTTTAAGTTGGAGTGTTACTGCTGCCTTGCTAAAGTGTGCTCACCAGCGGTGTGCAAGTGGGAGGTGGATCAAGTGCTAGTAAGGACCTTTGAATCCTAGTTAATCCTGACTCCGACCCGGCTAGCTGTTGATTCGCAGAACCGTCCAACTGCTTGGGTAAGAGCCTGCAGGTAAACGCAAAGCCCTGCTGGCAGTGTTGGTGTATTTCAGGAACTAAGTGATAAGTAGGGAATGAATACATGGCTTAAACACGCTGTTTTTCCTCTACCACTGACTGATTCTCACCTGGCAGGTTGTATCAGCTAGCTGTCACGTAAAAACACTAGAAGAAATTGCATGAGGCAAGTGAGAAGACTGTTCTGTGAGAAACGGCTTAGGCAGCTTTTTTTTTCAATGTTTAATTAAATGGGATGAAATTACCTTAGGAGGGCCAGCTTTTCCCTTGTTTAGGGAGTGATAATAAGACATCTGGGTAGAACTAATTCAGTTCATGTGCTTCCTGCAGATCAAAGTACTTTTTTTTGTGACCATGGGAAAATCTCATCTCTCTTAGTTAACCCCTTTGTTCCTTGATGGAAGATTGTGGTAGCTGTTCATAGCATTTTCTGTCATGTTGAACACTTTTTTCACACAAGGTCGAAAGAAGGCAAATTGTTTTCTCCACTTACTGATGAGAAGGGCTTGCCGGAAGATGACACCCCATCCCCACCCCCCAGGATCATCCAGCAAATTGGCAGTGAGGCTTGTGTTTCTGAATCATTGTGATCTTTCTCCAAACTGTTGTACTTCTTAGTTGCCTAGTCCCCTTGTGATCAGGAAAACCTCGTAAATCATGCAGGCAGTTGAGCAATCCCAAATACACATACTCTTCAATAGCACAAGTTGGGAAGCAGTGATCTCCTAGTATACATGATGCCTTTTATCCATGTCAGGTGACTACATACTCCTTGACAGATTTTTTTCCCACTCTGATGTAAAAATTTGCTAAATCATCTTGTGAAAATATACTCATCTTTGTTCCTTGGGGCAATTCTTCCCCAATTCTTAATGTCCACAATTTGTCTTAAAGGGAATGATTCCTTTGAAGTCAGAGGGAAGTTGTGTTGGCTCATTCTTTTCTCCCTTGGTGACTGCCTGTGAGGCTTGCATAGGTGGTTACTGCTTGAAGAGCATTTTCATGACAGTGTTGTCTTGTTTGAACCTTTAAGGTGATGATGGCAAGTCCTTAAGTGTAATGTGGCTGTTAAAAATGAGCACTGGATAGAAAAACTAAAAAACATCATCTTTATATGGAAAGGAGAGAGACCCCCTGATGAGCCAAGCACTGCTGAAGAAGAGCCAAGTAGGCCTCCCACTCCTTGCTCTCAGACCCACTGTACAGCCACAGTAGACAGAACAGCTGGTAGCGGTACAGTGACAGACACGTAGACCAATAGAGCAGAATTGGGAAGCCAGAAGTAAATCCATCCCCTTGTGGACAGCTCATCTTCAGCAAAGGGCTGAAGTCCATTAAGTGGCAGAGACAGTCTCTTTAACTAATGATGCTGGCAGAACTGGATATCCATTTGCAGAAAAATGAAACAAGATCTGTACCTCACACCACATACAAAAATTAACTCAAGATGAATCAAAGATAATGGAAGAATAAATAGGGACTCATTTAGGGGCCCTAATTTGTGGCATATTCTGTCAGGCATAACTAAAAAGACACAAGCAGCAGCAGGGAAGCGAGATGACACGGCCCTCTGAAAAACCAAATGCTCTTGTGCGTCAGAAGACTTCTCTGAAAGAGTGAAAAGAGAACTTACAGACTGGGAGAAATGGGGAGCAATGGCGTATCTGACAAAGGACTCGCAAATTTATGGAAAACTTCAACACGTCAACAACAGAAAGACAAACACCCAGTTAAAAGTGAGGATTGGAGTTCTAGATGTGCAACCGGTAGGAAAAGTTGTCAAAAGGAAGAATGCTTTTCACTCAATTTCCTGATTGCTTAGGAATGATATTGCTTTTCTTACTACCAAAGTAATCTAAGCTGGGGAGTACATTTGACACTTTCAGTGTATCTGTTCACCAGTTCATTGAACATTTATTAAGTAGCTTCTATGTTCTAGGTAAGGGGGCCTGCTGGCACAGTGGGTAAACATGTGGTTTGAACCCACTAGCTGCTCCCTGAGAGAAAGATGTGGCAGTCTCATTGCATAGTGATTTACAGCCTTGGAAACCCTGTGAGGCAGTTCTACTCTGCACTGTAGGGTGGCCGTGAGTTGGAATTGCCTCAACGACAATAGGTTTGGTTTGTTTTTTTGTTCCAGGTATTATGCTAAGAGATGTAAAGTAAATGTGGACAGGGCCCCTGCCCTCAGGGAGATTTCTGTCTAATGACCAGCAGAAAGGATAACATTGTTATGGAGTAGAGTACGTGCCATGATAGAGATGAGCACAGGTTTTGCAATAGCACAGTGGAGGTACTTAGCTGGGACCAGAAGTGTTACAGAAGGTAGAGCCTCAACTAAATTCTGGATGACCAGTGTGAGTTGTCTTGTGAAGAAAGGCAACAGAGAGCTTGGGCCCTGGAGTCTACCTGTATTACCTGGGGCAGCCTGCTTCCTTTATAACCTCAGTTCTTATCTGTAAACCGCAGCAATACTAGTTGTCTTCTCACAGGTTGTTGGAATCCACCCCATTCCTGCCTTGAATGGTATAGCATAGAAACAGGTGGGAAGTGCCTTGGAAATGCAGGGAAAAGGCTGGCTGCTCCTGAGACTGGGGAAGGTGTCACAGAGGACGTAACATTTGCAGTGGGTCTTAAAGAAGGAAGACCACTTGGCCAGGTAGTGAAGGGATGGGCACTGTAGGCAGAGGGAATAGCACATGCTAAGGTAGGTAGGCCTGAAAGAATCTGTGTGTCCGTAACATGGTGAGAGCCCAGTGTACGCCATGGCAGGGCAGGTGTGCTGGGAGAGGAGGCTGAAAGGCAGGTCTGGCTGAGCTCTGAAGGGTGTTTGTGCTGATGACTAGTACTTAGGGTCTGCTCCTGTACCAGTGGGGAGCCACTGTCAGGACTGATAGGATCAGACTGAGTTTTCTCTCTAGATCTATCTTTGATTCTTCAGGTATGTGTTTAAATTTTAAGGTCAGTTTTTTCTCTCGGTGACCAAAGGTACTATCAAAATAAGTTTCCTCATGTTAGCTTAGAACCTCTGTTCTCCACACCTAACTTCCTCAGCTTTGGTTTAGTCAAGATTTGAGTAACAACAATGGAGAAAGACTGATACCATTCCTCTCGAGAACAGGGACCAGACAAGGATGCCCGCTGTCACCACTTCTATTCAACATTGTACTGGAAGTCCTAGCCAGGGCCATAAGGCAAGAAAGGGAAATGAAAGGCATCCAAATTGGTAAGGAAGAAGTTA